TCTAGATGCAGCAATAATGACCGGGCGTTCTATTTGGGTGAGGACGGTAGGACTGACCCAATGGAGCCAATACGCTCCAACAATTGACTCAGAGGATAGCTGTAGGGTTTTTGGGGCGGGGGGGGGGGGGGGGGGGGGGGGGGGGGGGGGGGGGGGGGGGGGGTACGTATGATGGAGGTCTTGCGGAGGTGGATTCCCCCTGCGTGCCAAGCTTTGCAGAGCAGCAGAGGTGTGCCAGCACGGCATTTTTTCCTTTTTTATGGCTGGCACTGTTGGCCATGGGGGTCCGGCAGGTTCTAGCCTTTGAAGAACGTGGAATGTTGCATTTTTGATTCTCGACGTCGCCTGGCAAGGTGTATGAGAGGGAATCATGAGCAATGTGAAAGGGCGTGCCTAGAGTCCAATGATTCTAAGGCTTGGATCCCGTAATGCGCAGTGAAGGTACTTTTGGTCGGAAACGGGGATCCCACATGGTACCGGGTGCACTGGGTCTGGAAATAGAATCGGCGGTTTCTCTCTTCCGTTGTGTGCGTGTCAGCACAGCCGCAACCGAAGCCGCGTTGCGATAAAGAAAATCTGAAAGCTGGCCACCTCCTGCCCTTCCCCCTAAAAGTTGGTCGTTTTTCATGAATTTCTACTTTTTTTTATTTTTTTGGCCGCCTTGGTCTGGCTATTGGTCGACAGCTCCTCTGGACCTGTGCTCACCCACGGAATATGGCCTGTGTAATCGGAAATGCCCTAGACTGTCAGGCCACTGGGATGCGAAAAACTTTTTACGTGCAGTTTGGCCAGGAGTCCGGGACCCAATTTTCAAGGGACTTTTCCAATTTGTTGTTAAAAGCAGCGCGTGGGATCCAAGCCTAAGTGCTACGGATGTCCAACTGTGAGCCGGTCGTACTGCATCATTGTCACGGGAACCCGTATGGGCCTGGCCGTTGGTGGTGTGCGTGTCAGGTATTTCATCAGCTGATATTAAACCAGGCTTGTCCCTGGGCCCTTTGTCAAACCTGGCTTTTCCTGAGCTACATTGGAGCCATCAGTGGCATGGTCCATAAGGGAATGTATTAATAAGTTCTCCATCTGGTCCTATACCCCATCCTAAAGTAGCTAAATGAGGTAATAAAATAAGACCCTGTTCATACATAGGTTGTTCTGGCACAAAGTGAGCTACTTCAAACAAATTCATTGCTCTAGCCCATTCTCATTTTGGAATAGGCTTGTATAGCATCTGTGGGGGTCTTGAGGCCTCGTCTGGACTGCTACTGGAGCATCTCGTGAGATACCTAAAAAAGAATCTAAACTCGCCTTGATGATTCATCCATTGCAGGCCCTTCATTTCTTCTGTTGGAGGGAGGGGGAGGTGGAGGGGGAGGTGTCTCCACATTCCACCAACCCTCTGTTTTCTTCCAGTTGATCTGCATTTCAGCTGCCAGCGGGGGAGGTGTCTCCACATTCCACCAACCCTCTGTTTTCTTCCAGTTGATCGGCATTTCAGCTGCCAGCTGGAACACCTGCATTGCTCTTGTTAGTGCCTGAAAGGTCAAATCAGAGCCCCTGAGTACTTTCTAAAGTCCCCGTTGCCGAGCCACAATTTCAGGAAACGAACGTGCCACACAGGAACGCCCAAATTAATCCAATGAGAAACGTCTCTACTCTATTTCTTTGTGCGGCCGGTGGTTGCGCCAAGTACTGGTGGTTTAAGAAGTCCTCTGCAAACTTGCAAAGAGCATAACTGTTGGGGTGCATATATATTTCTATTGTTTCCTGTATCCAAGGCCTGTAGTCTTTCAATTGAGGGATCGTTTCTTAGAAAGGCTGCTATTGATTCCATCACAAATAGGATGGTAGGGGCGACAAGGGGATCCCCTTGCCTGATGGATCTGGTCCTAAAACTTGCAAACATTCCAGTAATGATGGACCGAGGACGTTCTATTATTAATTGAGCTTCTATAGTGAACCAAAATGTAAATATATAATATACCCTATTATACCTTTCTCGGCCTTTTGGCTAAGATCAAGTGTAGTATCTGTTCTGATCAGTTTGATATCTGATCTGTGGTCCATCGGTATCGGTTCTGATCAGTTCATTATCTGATCCGTGGTCCATTGGGCCTTGGCTGCTTCCAAGCCCACCTCCTGGTTGTAATTGCTCGATCACTTCCTTTCCCACTAAGTGATTGCTTTAGGACCTTAGCGTACGATCTGGGCTAGAAAAAAAAAAAAAAAAAGTACATATTCCAGGACCCTTGTAGTTACGCACCGCATGGAGGTTTCAATGTTATGGTGTGTTGAATAGTACTTCACCGATAATGGCAAAGTTAAATCCTGAATGTCACTTCCTTTTTTTTTTTTTCCAAAATATCGGGGCAGCGTCACTTGGGGGGGGTGATAAGAGCATCCTCCCCTGGTGCGCGATCTGGTTGTTCCATTCTATTGGTGGGGAGCTCCACCTGCTGGAAAACGGGTCCAGCGTCCCAAATGTACAATTGAGGAGAAGTAAGACAAGAGTAAGGTCAGTCTTGGCCGCCAGCACTAACTGCCCCGGCAAAGCCGGGGGGTTCACTGTGCAGCTGATCATCACAAGATTCTGTCCTGTCCAACCAGTGCTGTATTGCCGTTGGTGCCGTCAGAGTGGTGCCCGCCGCCTGGTCTCCGGAGGGGCACTGGAGGCCGGGCTGCTCTGCAGCTTGTCCTTAGGGCCGTGTGAGCTCAGGGTACGGGGGGGAATGAGATGTGTGGAAACTGTAGGGAAAAGGTTTGAAAATCAAAATCGGAGAACAGAAAGGTGCGACCTTCATATCATCAAGGGGGGGCCGAGGCAGACAACACTAGAGGGTACCCATCAACTGGCTGTCAGTCTGTCATTTTCTCAACCAGGGCGAGCGGGTGTGGTGGGAAGGGGTCCAAAAAAAGTCGGATGGGGGGCGCAGTGTTGGGGTCTATAGTCGTTTCGTCATTTAAAATAAGGCGGTAATCCCTGCACTCCGCCAGCTCCCCTGGCTGCACATCGTCCTTGTCCCCCCCCCAACTCCACTTTCGCTATCCATCCTCCCCTACTATTCCTAACCATTCTTTACAAAAGGAGGGGAGAGTGCTCACCTGATATCCTTATTTGTCCGAAAGAGGTCCAGCAGTTGGGGTTTCAGCACCTGCCATCTTCTCATAATTTTATTAATTAATTTAATTTAATTAATTAATTAATTTATTTATTTGCTGTTGGATCTGTTCGGTTACCATGATGAGGAGGCGCGGTTGCCACCAGAGCCCCCACAATACTGCTCTCTGGCCCAAATTCCGCCCAATAATCCCCAATTTAAAATTTAAACATATTCTCCACGAAATCAGGTGCCTCCTGGGCCTGTGGCCAAAACACTGAGGATGGCCGGCGATGACCCTGGCCATGGCAGGTCAGGGATCGTCTTTCTCCATATCCTGTCCCACCAGCGCCGTGTAAGTTGCACCGTGGGACATTGCATGAACATGTGCTCGATGGTTTCTGCCCTCTTGCTTGCAGGGAAGCCCTGCAAGCATCGTGGGCACCACGGTAGGGCCTGTACTCTGAGCTCACTTCTTTTTTTCTTATTCCTTTTCTTTTTTTTTTTTTTCCTGAGCTCGCTTCTTCTCTCCTGAACGCCAGTTAGTTTTTCAAACCTGAGCACTTTTAAGTGGCACACCTGCGGTGAGGTCCCACTTACCTGAATTCTGTGGTTAGTACTGGTTACTGCATTTCCTCCTTGTAATTTATAGTCAGAAATGAGCCAGAGCAGATGCGAAGCGTGCGATCTATGATCTATCACAAAAGTCACTGGGTTTAGGCCCTTTAGGGTGTCGGAGTGACTTGTCACTTCGCAAACTGCAGATACTATGTGAATGCAGAAGTTCAACCACTGCTGCTAATCCCTCTACCCCTAAGTTTTCGGCCATTAAACGGCCCGCACATCGCGCAGGCGAACTTGAAAATCGACATTGAGCCAATCCGAAAATGTCGGGGGCTCAGGCCTACCCCAGACCACAATGGCTGCTGGTGCCAGCCCCCCCAAAAAAAGAAGGTGCACCGCTGGCGGTCTGGTAAAGCTTGGCACGCAGAGTGCATCCGCTATCCCTTCAGATGTACTGGTCCCTTAACACGGAGGTTGTGCTCTTGATATATAAGCCTATGACAGTTAGGCTGGTGTCTGCAGTAACCGGTGCTAGAGTGAAGTCGGATGAGTACGGTGATTCAAGGCAAAGGGGGGAAAATTTCCGGAAAAAAAAAAGACGGCATCGTGTTAATGTTAATGTTGATGAATTCAAATTAGTCTTTGGCACAAAGATGTATAAATGAATTTGTGAAGCTGTGCTAGAAGAATATTTATTATTTATATTTCTGCCAATTTTCTGGTATTTAAACCACCATGGGTCCACCAGTGCCTCCAAAAGTCGTGGCGGTTAGTGCCTCCAAAAGTCGCGGCGGTTAGCAAGTTCAAGTTCCTGCAACAATGATGAATGAATGGGCCACTACCAGAGCGTCCAAGTTCATCCGACTTGAAACGCTTCTACTTGTTTTTTTTCCCCGGGCGATATATGGGAAAGGTACGGGTGGTTTAAGACGATTACCCTTTGGGTCAAAGACTAACCAAAATAAATTCAATTAGCCGGTCGGGTTTGCCTTCTGCCATGCTTCTGCTCATGGGCTTGTTGTCAATTGGCTGGAAATTAGAGTAGGACTTCATTTTTGCCTCGCTTTGTCCTTTTCTTTTCTTTTCTTTTCATCTTAAAAAGGGCGGCGGACTTGAGATATCATCATTGAACTGAGCGGACCCAGGCAGAGCAGATTCTGCAGAATGATTTTAGTCTGTTCATCTGATCGTATGTGGATTCGAACTTGCGTCTGTATTTCAACAGTTCATGGGTATACCAACTGAGCTATGCTGGTTGTCCTGTGGTTCTGCTATGGTACTTGGGTTTGCCTTTGCCTTGTCCCATGGTTCTACTGCGAATCTGTGCCTCGTACCATGCAGGTTGTTCAATTTCGCCGTAGGCATTGGCATCCATCTTCTATTCCAAGAAGGCGTGTGGAGACCAAAGAAGTGTGGCATTATAAACCCGAAAGAAGACCATATCTCATTTCAGGTAAGGAACTAGTCAATTTGTTTTCTTCTGTTCTTTTATTCTTTGTTGTCCCTGCTATTCAGTGTTGAGTGGTATTAAAATTTCGATCAGTTAATAGCATAGTAATAGCACCTGCTAATACTGGAAGTGACAATAAAAGCAGGAAAGCTGTAATTAGCACATACCAAACAAATAGAGGTAATCTATGCATGGTCATTCCTGGGCCAGGGATGTTAAAATGAGTCGTAACCCCCGCGCCCCCCCCATTTTGCCGCCTTTTTCCCTCCCCATCGCCACCACCTCCCCTCCCAATTGTGATCACCTCTGCTTCACCACGCCTCCACTACGTATGGCCACCACCTCCGCTTTATTGTGACCCTCTTCCGTCCCCATTGCAACCCTGTCCCCTGCCAGCCACGACCTCCCGCCCGCCCCCCATGGCCACCACCACCCCTCCCAATCACGACCTCCTCTCCTTCCCGTCATGACCTCTTCCCCTCCCCATTGCGACTCCCCTTATCCCCTCCCCATTGCGACTCCCCTTATCCCCTCCCCATCACGACCTCCTCCCCTCCGCACTGCACAGCCTCTCCTCCCCGTCAGCATCTCCTTCCCTTCTATCACCACCTCCTCCGCTCCCCATCGTGACCTTCTTCCTTCCCCATCGCCACCTTCGCCCCTCGCCATCACGACCTTCTTCCCGATTGCCACCGCCTGTCCTCCTTGCCACCTTCTCACCTCCCCATCGTCACCTTCTTCCGCTACCATCGCCACTGTCTTCCTTCCCTATCGCCACAACCCCTCCCCACCGGATAGCCACCATCTCCCCTCCACATAACCACCACCTCCCCTCCTGATACCCACCAGCCCCCAAACCCAGCCTGGCACGGCAGAACCGGCGGCGTTGTGGTCCAGCCCTGGTTCTTAGGGGTCTATGCTTGTGTATCCTAATTCTCCTTTTCACAATCTGTAAATCTCCCGCACTTGTCCCCACTATTTCACGCCGGCCTGCCGGTTAGCATAGGGTCTTGGAAGGGCTTGGCCTATTTTAAAATGGCTGGCGCTGCCCAGTAGGCCTTGCCGTGGCGACAGTTTGGAATGTGGAGGTCTTCTCCCTCACCTCTGGGGTTCCGCACTGACTCAAGGCTACCCCACTTCTTCTCCGTCTTGTCTGAAAGTGAGTAACTGGTTCAGCCATGGAGTTATATATGGGCAGGCTCGGCAGCGGCCAAGCTCCTCCTCATCTGGTAGCTCCAGGCCCTTCCTGACTTGCTTTCCAGGCCTTCTGGCCTTGCCAGATGGCAGGAATCATTGCAGACTCTAAGCTCCTCTGGACCCGAATACAACGTACGGTCACTGTAGCTGTCTTTGGGGCAACTTTGAGTCTAGACTCTAGATACACAGCAATAATGACCGTACTAAGTGCCTGACCTCATTTACGCCTGGGCTTATATGCATCTGGCCGCAATTCCATCCTGCACTAATGTCCCTGACAACATTTACAGCTGGACTTATATGCATCTGGCCGCAATTCCGTCCAGAAACAAGTAAAGAAGTGCTAGTTTGAGTATGCCGAAAGTTCGGTCCTCTTACATCATTATACCTACTGGTAAGCCTGCTGGACTAAGTTCGGTCTCTCCAAGCTGCTGGAAAATCTCTACTGGGTCTCTCCAAGTTTCATATCTACCCGTCCATCCTACGAGATAACCTGAAAGTCCTGCCACTGAATTTGGTACTGTGCCTGTATCTAGAGATTCTAGACCTGTTTTCACAATTTTTCAGCACTATTCGGCGTGAGACATGCAACCAAAGACTGTCAAAGAGTTAGTAGTAACTTAGTACACAAACACATGCAGTTGACCCCGGGGCTTATCAGAAGGATTCATTCAAGCGCAAACACTTCAGACATGGAAATTTCAGCACGGTCACGTCCGTCAGGGAAAAAAAAAAAAGTGCAAAGCTCTCACTAATGTGTGCTCATCATTTGAAATTAGAGTAGGATTTTCAGCACTCTCAGAAAATCATCGATGTGAACCGTGACATGTGACAACTAGTTAACAGAGCGCCGCTACTTTCCTCTTTTCCTTTTTTTTCGGAATAAAGGCCGACAGCGACAGCCTTGGGATATCATCACTGATTGACTGGCCCCAGGTAAAGTCTAGAGTTATTTCTACTAATCCGCTTCTATCGGCATTCAAACTCGTTCAGCTGTTCGCGGTCTGTATTTCAACAGTTCGTGGGTTGTACCAGCTGAGCGAGACCAGTGGGTTCCACTGCAATTCGAGTTTTTTGCTCGTTTTGCTGTCCACTGCAGTTGACAGAATAAAGCTCAATGAACATTTTCCCGGAAACAAACTGCATGGCTGTAACAAAAAGAAAAAGAACTTTAAAGAAGAGCATTGAAAGGTC